TAATAAACTTTTTTCATCCCTGGCCCAGAGTTCTTGGGTCTTCTGTCAGGATACATGATACTGTGGCAGACTAACTCGTTAGCTTGTAAGAAGAAAATCTCAGACCTTTCACAGTTCTTGATAGTGACTATATTGGTTATATATTGCTGTATAACAAACTGGCCTAAAATTTAGTGGCTTAAAACAATAACAGTTAAAAGTTTGATGCATGCATCAATGGAATGAAATAGAGGATCCAGAAATAGACCCATACAAATAAGATCAAATGGCTTTTTTAGAAAAGTATAAAAGCAATTCATGGTGTAAAAACAATCGTTCAATTAATGGTGCTGGAACAAATGACTATGTGCCTGCCAAAAAAATAAACCTTATATAAAAATTAACTCAAAATAGACCATAGGCATGATTTAAAATGCAAACCTATGAAACTTTTACAAGTAAACATAAGAGAAAATCTTTGTGACCCTAGGTTAGGCAAACAGTTCTCAGATATGACATCAAAAGCATAATCCATAAAGAATAAAATGATAAATCGGGCTCATAAAAATTAAATTTAAAAAACATTTGTTGTGCCCTAGCCGATTTGGCTCATTGGTTAGAGCATCAGCCGGTGGACTGAAGGGTCTCAGGTTCGATTCCAGTCAAGAGCATGTACCTCCGGTTGCAGGCTCAATCCCCAGCTCAACCAGGGCCATGTGCAGGAGGCAACCAATCTATGTATCTCTTTCATATCAGTGTCTTTCTCTCTCTCTCTCTCTCTCTCTCTCTCTCTCTCTCTCTCCCCGCCTTCCACTCTCTGAAAAGCAACAGAAAAAATATCCTCAGTGAGGATTAAAAAAAAAAAAAAATTTGTTGTATGAAAGACACTGTTAAGACAGATAATAAACTCAAAGCATATATATGTAAATTATCTGGTATCCAGACTTGTATCCAGAATATATGTATAAAGAATATACGGCATCCAGACTTGTATCCAGAATATATGTATAAAGAATTCTCAAGACTCAAAGGTAAGAAAAAACAGTATTTTTTAAAAGTGAGGAAAATATTTGAGCAGATAAACAATCTACATGAAAAAATAGGCAAGGGAGCAAAGGACTATTTAATCCAAATGAACAATTCACAAAATAAGATGTAAATATTACTAAGAAACAATAAAAGGATGTGCAATCCTTTTTGCATAGAACTGTAAATTAAAATAATATATATTTTTACCCATAAATCGAAAAAATAGAAATACTGGTAATATCAAGTGATGGCGAAGGAATGAGGAAGTAAATGCTCACTCTTGGTTGTAGTATAATTGGTACATATTATTTAGGGAGTAATTTGGTAACACTTGTTATAACTTAAAACAAGCATATCATTTGGCTCAATATTTCAACTTTAAAAATCTAGTCCGTGAAAATAAAACATGAAAGTGTAAAAATGTATGTAGGTGGATTTTTGTATTATAAGCTGTATTGAAAAATTGGCAACAATCTAAATATCCATAAAAGAATGGCTGAATAAACTACAATATAACCACATAGTTGAATTAGGCAGTCAACATATAAAAAGGGACAGATTTACATATTGATTTATTAGCATAAAAAGCAAATTGCACATTAACAAGTACAGACTCATTCCATTGTTGAATGTATAACTATGGCTACTTCTCTATATAGGTTTCTTGCATGTATTCAAGAAAAGATCAGAAAGAAAATTAACATGTCACTTTAGGGAAGATGAAATTTGATGGGTAAGTGATACAGAACATTCACTTGACAACTTTAGATTTTTACTTTTTTTTTAGAGTAGTGGAATCACAGGTGACTCTTCTCTTGTTTTGTAGGGGTTTTCTGAAATAGAGAATAATTGTTGGAGCAAGGTCCTGAAGAGGAAGGAACTGCAGGCATCAATAAGAGAATCTGTCTCAGACCAGAAGACACCTGATTCTCAGGAGCTGCATGAAAGAAGGCAAGAGTTGGTGGGGAAATCAATCAGTTGGAGTGCAGGCTGTTGGGGTGGGAGAACTGGGTAGGGAGACTTCTTACCCAGTGGCCCTGGTTTCTCAGTAAGGATGAGCATGGACCCAACCTTGAGGAGAATGGTCAAGGTTTCAACGGTCAGTGAGGGACAGGGGAGAGCTGATCACCAAGGACAAGGAAGGAAAAGTACACTCACGAAGCTTTTATATCTAGGCCTAGAAGTAGCAGCCAAAGTGCAAGACAGCCTTGGAGTGTAGTCTTGCTTTCTAGCCACAAAAAGGAGAGTGAATTAGGGTGGACTGTCATCAGTGCCCACAGCACTGTGACTGCCTTAGATTTTCTCTGTAACCTAATTTGCTTTTCCCACCCCTTCACACATCCATATTCTATTTAACACTCATCCATCCTCAATTTTAACAAGTTTATTTTTTTAAGGAAGATGTCTTAGACTTACTGAAGCTGAAAGGAACCTTAGAAATACTGTAATCCAATCTCCTCATTTTGTGGATGAGAAAACATTGACTCACAGAGATTAAATTATTTTCTAGTGTGGCATAGTTTATAAATGGTGGAGTAGGACAGACCTGGGTCAGTGCAGTTTCCATTATTCCGCACAAATCCTGTATAATCATAATTAAAAAGAAAGGGATACTATGTCTGTGATCATTACAGACATAGCTACAAAATTAAACAAGATTTGTGCTTTGAAAATTAAATGTTGTATCTATTACAAAAAAAATTACCCTGTTGAGAGTGATGACATAATATAAACATATATGGCAATTATTTTTATATAAAATGCATCTATAAGAAGTGAGCACAGGTGAGTAATTTGAATTGATGTATATTTATAATACCAGGAGCTTCTCAGAATCCTAAAATTGGCACGGCATTCAAGAATTGCAAAACACTAGTCAAGGCTTTGCCATGCTTTTGGAAGGATTACAGTGCCCTCTGCAGCTTTAGCAGAAATAAACAAAGTTTGGATGGAAAAACAGTGATTTAAACATCAACATGGAAGCATGTGTAATTAACATGCATGCCTCAGATACTCATTTTACCTTCCTGAACTGAATAAAAATAGTTATGTAAAGATCACATTTTAAGCAAAGTGCACTACAGCATGTATAGCAGGTACCTATTTATTTAAAAAGATATGCAATATAGAAAAAGAGATATGTATGTGCGTATCTGTAGATTAGTATGAGGACAACACTCTAGGAAATTGCAGAGTTGCCTTTGGAGAGACAAACTTGTACCCTGGGGATCAGATGTGGAAAGAAGGTTTATTTTTCACTGTGATTCTTCTTATACTCTTAAATTTTTTCATCATATGCATGTACTAATCTTTGAGGTAAGAAAAAAGTTAATATTTTAATCACCTTTTAGAGAAGTTGTATGCATGCAAATTTTAAAACTCTCTCTCCAAATGTTCCATAACTTTAGACAAGTTCTTAATCTGTTAAAAACAAACAGGCCCAAAATGAAGTTGCTCATGCTAAACCCCATGTAACCAAATTAAGATTAAATGACCTTGGTTCTCCCAGAAATGTAATTTTAAACTAATCAATCAGGAATCGCCAAGTCAGCACTAGTTAGTTAATCTGCCGAATAGGTCCCTGCCATCCCCTAAAGGAAAGTAACTATAATAGCCAATCCTAGTATAAATTCCTCATTCCACTCCTTTCTGCCTATAAGTCTTTCATTTTGTAGAGGTTCTTGGAGCTCTTTTCTATCTGCTACATGAGATACTGGATGATTTGAATAGATTTTTGCTCAAATAAACTTAAATTTTTTAAACATGCCTGTTTATCTAACAAATCTCTTTGCCTTTCCCGACCACTCAATTTAAGTTAAAGCACAGCTTTCTTAACTCTTATTATTTTATTAGATCCAGCCCAGCATCTTCTAGTTGAGCTAATGAAATTAACAGATTCTTAGGTCGGTGGTTGAGCCAAGGCGCCCGTCCTAGAGCGAGCTTCTCTGGTCTCTGGGGCAGGAAAGCGGAAGGGTCAAAGGTTCTTTCTGGGTGTTTTGTTTCTCAACAAACAACTTAAAATCAGTATCCCAAAAGGCAGCTCCCGGAGGGCAAAATTTTGGTCGTTTCCGAACTCACAGCCAATGGAAACAGGAGCTTAAAGAGCTGAAGAGGAAAAGGGAGAGTTTAAACCTCAGGATTTCTGAGCACAACAAGGTTCTGATGTTTCCCGGCTGGGCAGTAACTTTGAGGGGGTTTGTTGTTTTGGAGTTTTTTTAAGCACTGTGATTCTTTAAAGGTCGTAATTCTCTTTGCTGGTGGGGGGGAAAAAAAAAAGCTCTACCTTGTTTTTTCTACACACTGCAAACTCTTAGGGTGGCGTGGAGGACGAGGTTGGCAAACGGCCGCCAGCACGTAGGCGGCGTCTAACAGCTGGTCGCGCTTCCAGCTGCACGGGAACCAGGGCTCCCCGGCCGCCAGCCCCGGCCA